CTCTTGCCTCATCTATCTGAATTTTGTGTGTTTATTCAATGTAAAAGTGGCAAAATCATAAAACATTTGATTTTCCAACTGGAATTTCCATTTTTTCCAATGTGAGCGGTAAGTACCCAATTGGAATAACGTTGACCTTTCCCTGGTCTTGCTAAAAGTTTGTGACCCAAAGGTGGAGAGCGCTATCCACTTGTAAATATCTATCCGGTGGATAATAGTGTTGATTTTCCTAATTTTTATCCACTGGATATTTTACCGGCGGAAAGAGCGATCCACTTTTGAACAACTGGAACGCATAAAAAATGTATAAAATTTTAGTCTTTTAGGCTAAGGACGAGTAAGAGAGAAGTTCGAATTTTGCAGGTGTTGTGTGGGGAAAAAACCTATTAGAAACTATTGCATTCGGTTTGCTTACACCCGAGCACCAAAGCGATGTTTTTCTCATGTTCAAACTGTCGGCCATTTTATGGCCGTGCAGGAGACTGGCACGGCGTTGTCTCGAATTGCACCACGGGACGTTTGTTTCGCTTTCTCCATGTTTTTCGGTCATTACCAGGTTGCGCAGGACTAACCTGGGTCAAAATTCGTTCTCCCATAAAATCCAGAGTGTAATTTCGACACCGGCCCAGTCTCACGGGCGCAACCTTAAATTTGCTGCCGCAGTGTACGTGCCTTCATTATTCTAGCGTAGGCGTGGGCTAGACAAAGACTTAGGACCATCAAAACGACGACAGCGACGTCATCAAGAACGGCAAAAAAGCAACAGGTTTAGATTGGCAAATCAACAACTCTGCACTTGCATCAGGCTTTTTGTACATTTCTTTCCCGCCACCGCACGACTACGACGTGAAAATGCCTAATTTCTCGTTTTGCGGAGGACGTGAACGCAAGACGACGACTGTTTTTTTCTTTTCCTGAACTTCGATACAGTCTTTTAGAATTCAACTTCAGAAAAAAAAATTGCCAACATTTGACGAATTGAACGAAATGGAATGAGCGCGATAAAGTTTGAAGCAGCCCGACTTCACTTTTTAAGTGACGTTTTCGTAGCCGTCGCCGTCGTTGTGGACGACGACGACGGCAGTGAAAGAGTCGGTAAAAAAATGAATTTGCGTTCTTTCAAACGTAAACGCGTCTATGTGGACCCGCTCAATATGTCAAATGCAGGCGACATTTCCTGGAGTTGAATTCTTAAGAATTTTATTCAGGTTCAAAAAGAGGAAGGAAAATTCGTCGTCGTATGTTCGAATGTGTCCACGTCCTCCACAAAACGTCAAATTAGGAGGTTTCACGTCGTAGTCGTGCAGTGGACGTCAGGAAATGTACTAAAGAGCGCGATGCACGTGCAGAGCTGTTGTTTTGATCATTAAACCTATTGTTTTTTCGAAGTCGTCGTTGTGGTCGTCGTCGTAGTTGCTTTAGCTCCCTACTGCCTCTTTAAGGTGGTTGGTATCTGTCTTCTTCGAATGGGGAGTCAGGCCCTTAATGCACGCACATCACACTTCTTACGTTAATCGTTAACCATCTCATTCAACCTTGTTCGTAAGAGGAGGCCCTGTAAGCTGTGCTAAGTGATTTGTTGTTTTCGTTTCAGGTGTAAAGCGGGCAGTTGTCGCCAATCCAAGAAGAGATACCTGCAGCAGGGAGGTTTTTAGACACGAGGTTAGTTCCTTTCCGATGTACGTTTTTTTAAATGGCCAAAAAGCTATTTTTGTGCCCACGGAATATTAACCAACGGTGGTTCAGTTCTCGGCTTAGCAATGAAGTCCTTGATTTACGAAGAAAAAAACCTCACCGCCACTTTAAAAAGGCCCAGTTGTTCGAAGGCCGATTGGCGCTAACCCAGGTTTATTTTACCTTGGGATTCTTTTCTTTTGCTCAAAAGCATTTTCCTTGATAATTTTCTAGACTCTTTTCAGAGCATCTTTTCATCAAATGATAGACAAAAAAGAAAAAACTGAATTATTTTTTTTATTTTTACATATTTGAATTGAAATTTCGCACTAACCCTGGGTTATCTTAACCCTGCTTTGAACAACCCAGCCCAAAATTTTGAACTTATTTTGAACTGGCTCTGAGTACAAGTATACGCAATTTCATTGTTCAGTTCACGACGTGTGATTGCCTAATTTCAAAATTTGTCTCACGATTTTGTCTGGGTGGCCTCGGTTCGTTTGGTCGCCCTGTAATGCCACCTTCGATACGTTGCTCATCACTAATCATAAAGTAAAGCCGAATCTTCATTTGCGACCACCTCTCTCAACCTGTCACCTGCCGTAGCCGAATACATATCAAAAAACCAAAACATTTGCTCTCAAAGAACCACAGACAGAACTCCCTTTATGCGGCCAACTCTTTGCAAGCGACTGCCACCACTTTTTTTGGGCTGTCATTTTTACATGTTCCATTCTCTCATACCTCACGTAAGCAAGCAAGGCGCTATCAACAAGTATCCATTTTTGTTTGAAAAAAGAGATTTTTTCCTCCATTTTGGCCTAACGTCCACACGTATCCATTGAAAACAGTCACCGAAAACGTACCGTTTCAAAATCGCTCTCCAGAGTGGAGATTTTTGAAAACCTCGATTCGATGTACTCGTGTGGATAGATGAAAACGAAGGTTTTTGAAAACGATTACGTCACGGTGTGTGGTCCAGTCAATCCTGCGCACGAGATTAGGCGCCAACATTTCGTGGGCTCACCAACAGCAACGAGCTTTATTTGCATGACCATACAAGTAAAAAGAATATTGCAAAAGCTCTTTTTTGTTGAAGGACTAAAATTACATCTTAGGACAATTACGTTACTATTTGGTGATAATTTGTCACGAAGATCAACCCAAGCTGAAATATATGTAATGAATTGTATATTATGAAGTAATCAGAGGAGTTCATCAGTTCATTGATTAAAACATTTACAGGTAACTGGGTAATATTTGGAATCAGAGTCTTGACTTTATTGTAAAAATTATTCCTAATTATAGAGTATTGCATGGTCGATGGCAAGCATATGCCTGATTGTGGCGTAACCGGAAATAAAACAAAAAAGCCTAATGGAGTGTCTTAACTGTTTTTACTGCGTTTTCTGTGCCCTATGACCTGTGCCCTGTAACCTGTGACCTGTGCCCTGTGACCTGTGCTCTGACCTGTGACCTGTGACCTGTGACCTGCGTTTTGTACCTGCCGTGCAGTGCATGCAGCAGTACATAATTTAGTTACTCTTTTAAAACAATAATTTTTGTGTTTAACCATACCAACAAGTACAGTTGACCCTCCATGTGTGACCACCTCTCGTAATCAACCAACTCTGTCCAAAATGCCAAAATTTTCTCACTCAAAGCCCCATAGTTAGAACTTCTCGTAAACGACCAGCTCTAGTTGGCGACCGCGGCCACTTTTTGGGCTGACGCATAATGTGATGCCTCTTTGTGTGCTGTATGTACAAAGCCACTCAGAGTATACAAAACCTTTGTGTGACAGCATGAAACTACTCACGTAAAAGTAACTTACAAATTGCATGCCATAAGATTTATTCTCTTCTAAAAAGTAGATGTGTAGGGAGCTTTTCTCAGAAGAGAACCCCCGTGGCTTGATTCTCGTTAGCGAACACCTTTAGCCAAGCCAGCACACGGAACTTTGGCATTTGAGGTGACCGCTTATGGGAGGTTCAAAGGTATTTATTGAATACTGGTTGATGTTATTTTTTATTTTTTTTTCGCTGTTTAGTACGGCCCCCAGGATATTAGACCAGTGCTGAATGATATACTAATAGCAAAGTTAAGGCCAGGACAGGTAAAGAAACATTCTATATTAATTTTATGCGAGTAGTATCCTCACGGTAACCAGTCAAGTCGCCCGAACCAGAGTTATGTCGCCTGAAATTTTGCCAGGTGTTAACAAGCACGATAAATTTGTAGTATTTCTCTTTCGTTAAGCCTTGATGAAACAATCAATCAGCTCAATAGATGTGCTATATGCCTCGTTCTTTTGAAACGAGCGCGATAAATGTGTTGCATATCAGGCTCTTTAGGCCATTATGAGGCGAAGCAAGCGCCATAAGTGAGGAATACATCTCGTTCTTTAAGCCTTGATGAGACGAAGCAAGCGTGATGGATGTGAAATAGGATAACTCTGGTTTTGGGCAACATATACTTTGGCTGTCCAGATAACTTTAGGCTGACTTGACCTGCCTCTCATGTGAGTGGCATACAATAGAGAGTTGTTAATCTAATAAGTCCCAAATACTTCATGACGGTTTATGGTCAAGTCGCCCGAAAGTCATCTCGCCCAAAGTTATGTCGCCCAAAATTTTGTCACGCTCAGCAACATCCTAACATCGCAATCGTGCTTGTTTCCGTTTCATCAAATCTTTAAGAACGAGATATATTACTCATTTGACGTGCTTGTTTCGTTTCATCAAGGCTAAAAGAACGAGATATGTTACACATTTTTCTCTTCATCGCATAAAGAATGAGTTATGACCCACATTCACCCCGCTTGTTTCGTCTCACCATGGCATCATTGCTTAAAGAAGGAGTCTTAATTACACAATTATCCCGCTTGTCTTGTCTCATTATCGCTTAAAGAACGAGATATATTACATACACGGGCGACTTGACTAAAAATTTCGGGCGACATGACTTTGGTTTCTGCCGATATAACTTCGGGCGAGATGACTTTCGGGTAACTTGACCGGTTACCTTCATGACTATCTGCTAGAAGGATAACACCTTAAGCCTTAATATTCACATACGACAAATTCTCCAGACTGATCCGCTTGCATTTTTCCTTTATAGATTAATATTTTAATTCTCCTAACTTTTTCTCGTGATTATATGTATTGACATTTTTAGGAGAAAATTGGTTTGACTTCTTGTCTTAAAAGTGCAAGATTTGATGTTAATTAATTTTCAATATCGTGATTATATCTGGCTATCTGAGCGTTTGCTGTAACCCAAATGTTTTGGTCTTGGTTTTTATTTTGTAGGAACTCGACCTAAAAATGTATGCTGTTAAAGGATTAGGGAAGGATCATGCAAAGTTCTCTCCTGTCGGTAGGTTAAGATACACATGTGCCAAATCAGACCTACGATTTTCGGAGGCTGTGTTTTTCAGATCTTATTAGCAAGATATTGCAATTATTGCTAAAAAATTTTCCTTGGAAAATTTGTTTGAAAACACAAAGCGTCCCCTAGAATTTTTTGAATGAAAGTAAGGCCACTCCATTGCCTCGATCTATCAATTAGACTCGTGAGAGTTAGCTAACAGTTTTCTTTCGAATGGGACAAAGTACCTACTTAAGATATCGGGTCGTTTCGCCCGATGGCAGTTCGCCTAGATTAAGTCGATTCACCCGATGTATATATGTCGTTCTTTATCATTTAAAAAGGGAATAAGCATGAAAAGACAGTGACTGCACATGTGGAATCTAAGGTTAACTAAAATAACATCTCGGACAAGAACGTTCACCATGTTGTAGAGTGTTGTATGTCATATGTCATCGGGCGAATCGACAGAAGTCCTGGCGAACACCATCAAGCGAATTGACTTTCGGACGAAACCACCGCAATTCCAACCTACGACATTCGACCATCTTCCGTTTTTAGGGTAGCTCCAAATTAACCAGAAATTAACCAGAATAGCATCTTAAGCATAGAAATTACCTTTTGAGACCATTCTGGCATGGAAACATTCGTTCGTTGGGTTCCCCTGTCAAATGCTATGTACGGGTCCGTTCCTTTAATTGAGAATCCAAATTCGGATTGTGAAAACTGGACAAACGGATATTGCGTTCCTGTACTGAAACGTAAAGTCGGATTTTCAATCTGAAGTTGTATCCTTAATTTTTTTTGTATTAAACAGGTCTCCAACTGGGAGCTGCAAATGGCATGTTACACGAATTTAATGCCTTCAATCCGTAAAGTTGTACGGGTTATTAAAATGCTTACGCAAAATGACAATAACTGTTTTTTTTTTAAACATAGATGAACATTTTGATCTGTTCTGTTGACAGCCACTGCCTCCTACAGACTTCTTCCAGAAATAACAATTACAAAGCCTTGTGAAGATAACTTGGCAGATAAGTTGGTCCGCTGTTTCTCGGAGGGTGTAATAAAAGTGGAAAATGAACACGGTATGTTGAAATGTTCTTATTTCGGAATACTTGAGCTTGAGCGAAGACTTAATGAACTTATCATTTATGTATTACTCATCTTGGTTGCTTACCACTTACACAAACTCTCCCGGTGGCATATCTTGTGCATAAACGTGTTGGGAGAACGACCCTCTACAAAGTGCATCCAAATCAGCTAAATAGACTAAAAAGAGTGGAAAAATTGCATCACCTCAAATCAGAGCCCATATTTTCCGAAGCTTCCCAAACGAAATGGTGCGAGCCATTTCATAAGTCTTATTGGCTTCCATGGGCGCTTTTGCCTCATCTATCTGAATTTTGTGTATTTATTTAATGTAAATGTGGCAAAATGATAAAACATTTGATTTTGCAACTGGAATTTCCATTTTTAACAATGTAAATGGTAAGTACCCAATTTGAATGACGTTGACCTTTCCCTGGTCTTGCTAAAAGTTTGTGGGCTAAAGGTGGAGAGCGCTATCAACTTGTAAATATCTATCCGGTGGATAACACTGTTGATTTTCCTAAGTTTTATCCACTGGATATTTTACCGGCGGAAAGAGCGATCCACTTTTGAACAACTGGAACGCATAAAAAAATGTTTAAAATTTTAGTCTTTTAGGCTAAGGACGAGTAAGAGAGAAGTTCGAGTTTTGAAGGTGTTGTGTGGGGAAAAAAACCTATGAGAAACTATTGCGTTCGGTTTGCTTACACCTGAGCACCAAAGCGATGTTTTTTTCATGTTCAAACTGTCGGCCATTCTATGGCCGAGCAGGAGACTGGCACGGCGTTGTCTCAAATTGCACCACGGGACGTTTATTTCGCTTTCTCCATGTTTTTCGGTTATTGCCAGGTTGCGCAGGACTGAACTGGCTCAAAATTCGTTCTCCCATAAAATCCATAGTGTAATTTCGACACCGACCGAGTCTCACGGGCGCAACCTTAAATTTGCTGCCGCAGTGTACGTGCCTTCATTATTCTAGCGTAGGCGTGGTCTAGACAAAGACTTAGGACCATCAAAACGACGACAGCGACGTCATCAAGAACGGCAAAAAAGCAACAGGTTTAGATTGGCAAAACAACAACTCTGCACTTGCATCAGGCTTTTTGCACATTTCCTTCCCGTCACCGCACGACTACGACGTGAAAATGCCTAATTTCTCGTTTTGCGGAGGACGTGAACGTAAGACGACGACTTTCTTTTTCTTTTCCTGAACTTCGATACAGTCTTTTAGAATTCAACTTCAGAAAAAAAAATTACCAACATTTGACGAATTGAACGAGTTGGAATAAGCGCGATAAAGTTTGAAGCAGCGCAAATTCACTTTTTAAGTGATGTTTTCGTAGCCATCGCCGTCGTTGTTGCTTAAGCTCCCTATTGTTGTATTTCTGCCTTTTTAAGGTGGTTGGTATCTGTCTTCTTCGAATGGGGAGTCAGGCCCTTAATGCACGCACATCACACTTCTTACGTTAATCGTTAACCATCTCATTCAACCTTGTTCGTAAGAGGAGGCCCTGTAAGCTGTGCTAAGTGATTTGTTGTTTTCGTTTCAGGTGTAAAGCGGGCAGTTGTCGCCAATCCAAGAAGAGATACCTGCAGCAGGGAGGTTTTTAGACACGAGGTTAGTTCCTTTCCGATGTACGTTTTTTTAAATGGCCAAAAAGCTATTTTTGTGCCCACGGAATATTTACCCACAGTGGTTCAGTTCTCGGCTTAGCAATGAAGTCCTAAATTTATGAAGAAAAAACCTCACCGCCACTTGAAAAAAGGCCTAGTTGTTCGAAGGCCGATTGACGCTAACCCAGGGTTATTTTACCCCAGGTTTCTTTTTTTTTGCTCAAAAGTATTTTCCTGGATAATTTTCTAGACTCTTTTCAGAGCATCTTTTCATCAAGTGATAGACAAAAAGAAAAAACTGAATTATTTTTTTAATTTTTCATATTTGAATTGAAATTTCGCACTAACCCTGGGTTATCCTAACCCTGCTTTGAACAATCCAGCCCAAAATTTCGAACTGGCTCTGAGTACAAGTATACGCAATTTCATTGTTTAGTTCTCGACGTGTGATTGCCTAATTTCAAAATTTGTAACAAAATTTTGTCTGGGTGGCCTCGGTTCGTTTGGTCGCACTGTAATGCCACGTGCGATACGTTACTCATCAGTAATCATAAAGTAAAGCCGAATCTTCATTTGCGACCATCTTTCTCAACCAGTCACCTGCCGTAGCCGAATACATATCAAAAAACCAAAACATTTGCTCTCAAAGAACCACAGACAGAACTCTCCTTATGCGACCAACTCTTTGCCAGCGACTGCCACCACGTTTTTTGGGCTGTCATTTCTACATGTTCCATTCTCTCATACCTCACGTAAGCAAACAAGGCGCGATCAACACGTATCCATTTTTGTTTGAAAAAGAGATTTTTTCCTCCATTTTGGCCTACCGTCCACACGTATCCAGTGAAAACAGTCACCGAAAACGTACAGTTTCAAAATCGCTCTCCAGAGTGGAGATTTTTGAAAACCCTGTTTCGATGTACTCGTGTGAAAACGAAGGTTTTGGAAACGATTACGTCACGGTGTGGGTCCAGTCTATCTTGCGCACGAGATTAGGCGCCAACATTTCGTGGGCTCACCACCAACAACGAGCTTGATTTGCATGACCATACAAGTAAATACAGTATTGCAAAAGCTCTTTTTTGTTGAAGGACTAAAATTAAATCAAGGACAATTAAGTTACTATTTGGTGATAATTTGTCATGAAGATCAAAGCAAGCTGAAATATATCTAATGAATTGTATATTATGAAGTAATCAGAGGAGTCCACCAGTTCATTGCTCAAAACATTTACAGGTAACTGAGTAATATTTGGAATCAGAGCCTTGACTTTACTGTAGAAATTATTCCTAATTATAGAGTATGTAGAAGAACAATATAGAAAGTGAATTTCGTCTTCAATTAAATTGGATCCACAAACAGGGCAATGCCAATTATCTGAAGTAGTTTGATTGTATCTACCTATTTCTATCATTAATTTGTGATTGTTTATTCGTAGTTTTACTAATGCCCTTCTCCCAGCTGTTCGTCTTGTTAAGTCTAGGTAATTCGAGGTTCAGGTGCCGGTAAATTGGCTCAGATACCAGTAAATACGCATGCTTCAATCAAATATGTAACAGTTTCAGGTCGTTTCAGTCACTATTGCGTTTTCGTGCGGACGGGAATAAACGATTCAAAAACGCAACACGTGGACGATATGTTTTGAAATCGGAGAAAAAGTCTACGTTTTCAAACAAAAACGGATACGTGTGGACCCGGGCCTAACAAGATCATTATACACTGTACGTTTTTGGGAAACTGCCCACCTACCCCTTCCCTAAGCCAACATTTTGCCTTAAGTGAGAAGTAAGTGTTAATGTTGGCTTAAGGAAGGGGCAGGTGGGAAACTAATCCTGTTCCACTGCATTTTGCCGATATTTGCTAATACATGTATATTATATCAGTTATGGTTCGTTCCCTTGTTCTTAATCAAAAGGTTTATATCCGCGAGGTATAAAACGAATGATAAAGCTGATTTCTTATTCCAGGAATTGAAGGATCGAGTTAAACTTTCAAGGATAAGAGACCATTTTATTTGTAAGTTCATTTCAATATTCTATAACCAACTCACAAGGAACGTCCCTGCACTCCCCCCCCGCCCTGCCAGTGACCTCACACAAGATCGAGGCTTGGGTAAACTTGTCACCTTAAGCCTCGAGCTGGTGCATTAGTTCTGTGGAATGTAACAAGGTCCATTGACGTGCTCTCCAGTTGTCATGATAACATCTCAAAGGGTGAGAGTGTCACGTCCGGTCATCGCAAAGGTGGGAGTTTGAATCTCGCTGAGTTCTGAATGACTTTTGAACTGCTCAAGTTAAGAAACTGCAATGTTGTTTTATTATGTATTAGCATTCTTTGTCGTTATATCTGTTGTTTTGGGAAATTTTAAACAAGAGATCTACATTGAAACGGTCGAAGTCAGAGATGTAGGCGTTTAAGCAGACTGCGTTCTGCGCAAGTTACTTGTTGATGCTGCGTTTTTTATCTAGTTTCAGTCGAATCTACTGGTGCTCTGTCCTCAGATGTGCTTGTTTGCGAGGCCATTAAAGTGCTACTGGGAAAATGCAGACATTTTCTGTCGGAACTGGACAGCCATTGCGTGGATACTTGAGTTTATTACTTTGTCCTCGCCTCTCGGGCTTCAAAGCAATAACTGTGTAAAACCAACATGAATTCATTCTCTTGCGACAAATCGCGACGGTAAATTCCTTTGTTTTCTGGTGACGCAAAGGAAAAAGGAAGTTGTGTGAGTAATTCGCTCGTTGTCACAGAGATTATCGTTCAAATTTGCGGTCATCACCTGGAGTTTACAAAAACTACGTGCGCTCAGTGCGGGACAGGAACTGTACTTTCCTTTTTTCCGGCATTTCCGAGAAAAATTCCAACTTCTGTAGTGAAGATTACGTACAGAAGGTGGTTTATAAAAAAGGCCATTTTGAAGTACCATCTTCTTTAAAGAGCTGAGAAACGCTACTTCATAACAACTTGTTTCGCTCTTAAATTTTCAGTTCAGAGACTCGGTAACAGTTGGCCTGCTAGTGTCGTTAGAAGAATTGATAAATAGATCACCAAACACTGGTAGGGCAATAAAAAAGGACTTCAGTGCGCTGTTACCTGTTACTTCTGTAACCTTGTAACTTCTTTTAATTGTTTATAATACCGTAACAAATTGTGTGGTCATTTGTTGTACTTGCCCTGTATTATTCTCCTGTCAGTGCACACTCATTATTACTGAATAGTGTGGCCGGTCAGTTCTGACAAATGGAAAGCGCCCTTGGTATCGTCTACAAGAGAGCATGCGAATCTAGTAATTACATATCGCTAAATACAGTATATGGTAATTCACTGACTAACAACACAAGTTAATTATGCTTCGTTTATATCGAGAAAAGTTGTCCCGGGAATAACAGAGGGTTGCCCTCCCAGCCGAGTCAACTTCAGCGAGTGTTTATATGCGAAAATCTTTGACCTCTTTGCCCGAGCCAAGAGCTGACAACAGCGCTGGCGAATGCTTTGAGTGTCTCGCCTTGACCGAGATGACTCGGCGGGGCGAGCCAAATTGTTTATATCAAGAAACGTTATCCCAACTAGGATGATAAATGAGGCAAATCACAAGCTCGCCCCCAGGGTTTTCTCGTTTTTCTACCGCCACCATATTGGAAAACGAGTGGACCCTGGGGACGAGGTTGTGCAAACCACCCTTCTGGCCGAGTCAACTTTTTTGTTTCTATTGTAAATGGTTCACCAAGTTTGGTAGTGAAAAGAAGGGAAAATTTTTGTGAGCTGCGTTAAATCCCAACGTTTTATACCGCGTGTGAAATCAATCTGTTTCACCTCTCTCATGCAGGTTTGTTGAAATTAACAATAGTTCATCAAAAAAAGACAATGAGGATGTTCCGAAATCGGATTCTTACGGGTGCTTTTGGAACATTTTGTGTGCTTTCCTTGTTAATCGAATTCTACTTTTTCTTCGGCGAGCCTCTGGCAGTTGGTCGTCGGGTGAGGCAGAATTTGTGGTTGTTGATCCGAACTTTGGCGAGGTATTTTGAGTACATCTTCACCGTAGGATCCCTGTAGATCCTCGGACCAGTTTTTAGGAACAGGAAATACAAACCCCTCAAATTCCATCTCCTTTAATGGAAATACGTCTTTGACCTTCCTTTCAGTAACGAATATATCCACTTGAAGCCCATCATGCCAATCGCAGCCGTACAGCAAGCAGTACCCATAGCAACTAGCTTTGTCTCTTAGACGACCATTGAAAGGGGATTTGTAATACCCTATTTTGGGATGACTCGGATGCCTTTTGGGTGTCAGTTGGGCGTCCGCGATAGCTGCCTCCCGGATGTGACTGTCTGTTTGTGAATTCTGAAAGAAAATATCTTCGGGAAGATCTTTACTTCCTACCGTAACAAACTTTATGTAATCTGTCAGTGTCAATTCTACATCCACGTCGTGATCCCAGGGGATAAATCCTTTGTGTCTTGCTGCGCCTATTAATGTACCCGCGCTTATCCAATAACGTATATTGTGTTTCGTGGCAATCAGATGGAATATCCGTAACATTCTAACCATCACAAGCTGGGCTTGCCTCATTCTTGCTTTCGCCTTGTGTCGAATGTCCGGACAATCGAGGACAGTGCCACTGAGGACACACTTCCCTCCCAAGTCAGTGTAAAGAGTCGGGCACATCTCACCGAATTTCAGTTTGGTATCACAGTTCTGTCTCACTAAGTATCTGTTTATTGGATCATGTCTCCGTGTATTTGACCAAAACATGAGCAAATACAAGACGAGCCATACTACAATCAAGGTTGAAAATTTATAAAGCAAGGTTGCTCTCGTTTGAACCATTCTGACAAGTGTATTTTATAGTTGTGCGCCCATAAAGGCTATAAATTTGGTTTAAGTGGAATAAAAATTACAACTTCATACTAATTAATGTAAAATTTATGTCAATAATAGCACAGCTGATTGTCTTTTGAAAGGAACTGCGCAGGAGGGCATAGCGTTTTGGGAAACAATAGACCTTGTCACGGTTTTCGACGCCATCTTGACGAGTAGGCAAGCGTGTGAGAAATTACAGTGTTGTGTGAGAACCTAATGTCGAATACCTTATGACATGAATTTTGGCGACACCTTAATGTGGCGATTTTGAAAAACCCTTATTTAGCGGTACTTTAATTTTGCGATTTTTCGTAAATTGTGGAATGTATGTCACTTAATTTTCGCGATTTCACGAACCGAAAATTTAGCGAATGTGATAAAAATAATCATAAACGTCAATAGCTTCATTTAAAAATCATACAACGTGTTGATAATGTTGAACGAAACAAACGAAATTGCCACTGTAATCGTGATATCTTAATGCTTCCCGCGCATCATATTTAACGTACTTTGTCACAGAAAAGTCAGTGATACAAGTCATAATCGACCGTGTTAGAATATGCACGTCAAACTCACTAGATGGCGGAATTTCATATTCAGTACACACTTTAAGTTAGCGACCATTTAAATTTAGCGTCACTTAATTTTGGTGCATTTTAATTTAGCGATTTTAATTCGCTAAATTAAAGTGTCGCCAAAATTAAGTGTAATAAGGTATTTTCGGTAAAACTGCTGTTCTGAAAAAGATATCAATTGTAAACTAAAGCTTCAAGGCAAAGGATTGTCGTAAAAGATTTGGGGGGCGTACCTGTGCTTTTTCCATATATTTGTCTGTAATTTTTCCCGGGACTTTCTTACAGACAAATGTATAGAAAATAAAAAAGTGGTTCTAGGTCTTCCGGCGCGTGTAACGCCCTCATTTTTTTTCAGTAGAATTCTTAGGAGTGAAGCTTTAGTTTACAATTCATATTTTTTTCAGAACAGCCGTTCTACGGAAATCATTCAACATTAGATTCTCACACAAACACTGTAATTTTTAGCGCGTTTGCCTACTCGTAAAGATGGCGTCGAAAACCGTGACAAGATCTATTAAAAAATTACAAACAAATCACACACTTTCGTAGAAGCAGGTCATGCTTTCTGGAGCCCATTACCATTACCCAAAAGCTGAAATAATGTTTGTGATAATCGTTTGCAAAGCGATTAAGTTCTCTAGTTTGGTTGCTTAGTAACAACATAGTTGGCCTCTATCAGTAGAAATTAGTAAGGAACCCCTTTGCATCGTTAAGTTGAAAGGTTGAAAGTTAAAGCGTGGTTTCCATATGATCGCTGCGATCGCTGAGAAAAAAAAAAGTTCAGCAATCACAGCGATCATAGCGATCATAATTATGGAAACCACTTCCCAGCGATCGTAGCGATCGCAGCGACAACGATTGCTGAGATAGAACTTTTCCTATCTCACGATCGCTGGAAAGTGGTTTCCATTATGATCGCTATGATCGCCGAACTTTTTCTTTTCCTCAGCGATCGCAGCGATAGTAGCGATCAAATGGAAACCAGGCTTAAGATTGTGTGTGCCATTTAAAAACGTTTCCTAATGCAAAATAAAGTGACTGTACAGCCTACTTTCCTAGCCTAAGAGTGATCTTTTTTAAAGCTTTTTATCTGGTAAGGGGCAAAATACAGTACGATTTTGCCACTGCCTAACCGCTTCCGGCAAACGATAGAAATACCAAAAGTCAACACATTTAAAAGTTTCGCTTACAAATAAGTTCTATCTATATATAGTGATGAAGGCTGGAAGCAATATTTTGAATAATTTAATGTTGGGTATACGTGCCGCCCACAAACAGCTAGGCAAACAAGCGGAGAAACTGTCTTTTGTGTCTTTGCTTAAAAGACTTTTCGATATAAATGATCTTGCCAAGGATACATTTTTTTGCAATCCTGATTTCACATAGCAACTACCGGACTAGCTGCCTAACGGTCTAAGGAAAGATTGACTGGCAACTGGCTACCAAGTTTATTGTCGTGATTTCAGAGCTATAAAAAACATGCAATAACGCCATCTTTTAGCTTTTCATTGAGCTCAAAGCAGGACACAGTTGCTAGTCTGCTCGCTGTTTTAGTGAATAGTCAAAAGCATATTAAGCTCTCAGTGACATCGTTAACAAAGTCTCCATTCAAACTTTATTGCTCTAGTTCGAGAAAATCTTAGACTTAGCCTTCCATTCATGCCCATGTCTCGCTCCTAAAATTGATTTCCTCGCCCACGCTATGTAGCTATAGTCAGCAGTTGCCCAGGCGAGAACTTACAACGTTGCGTTGATATTGGTGTTATCAATGAGAATAAAAACAATTATGTACCCTGTGAGCCGAGAGTTATTTTCGGCATAGTTTTTCGCAAGTGGGGAGTCGTTCTTTGACTTCTTTACGCCTCCGCCTTCAGGGAAGTAAACAAACCAAAGCGAATATCAACAACGCCAACAACTGACCAAATGTAAGAAAACCTTTGCTCGAAGATATTAATGTGTTTTGCAATTAATTTTTTTTTAACACATGCGAGACATTACATTTTTTTTTTGTATAATTACAGGGGCTGCCAACGACAATTTTCGGAAAAATATCTGTTCGGAAGACGATTTGAGATCTAGAATTTTCGGAACATTTGTTGTAAAATTTCTTGCTTGCCTGCTTCTCCTAGGATTTTCGAACATCTAAAAT